CCAAAGTGTTTCATGAGCATGTTGCACAAATGGGTGTCAAATCAGTTGAGGATTATGAGTTTTAGTGGGAGTTTGTAATGTTTCTATATTTGGTTAATTGACTTAATTCAAGTTTTTAAGGTTATTTTCTGCAGAAATAAAGTTTAAAGTTTTATGTACTCTTACAGTTATATTATTGATCTCAAGGTGGACCAGTTGGAAATAGACATTCTATTCCAGACCACACTTTATGTTATTTCCACGCTACACACCTATACTTGATCCATGTCGTTTATTATATTAACATATGTGATCATTGATGAGTCTAGTTATTCAAATATAGCAAAGACTTCTTTGATCCTATGTTGATATAATTAATGGACCGGATTGATTAGAGATGACTACAGTTTGATAGCAAAATTTTGGAACTCCTAAAGTAAACATACAATTCTAAGGATTGTGTATACATGTGTATGTCGTCCAAGTGGGAGATTGTTAGATTATTGGACTTATATTGCATGTAATATTCACAATATATTATTTATCGGGTTTAATTGTATGTTATATGCTATCTTATATTTAGGCCCAAAAATTAGTGGTCCTATGGATATTAATTTAAGTGGGCTAATAAGTTATCTAATAAGGTATAGGGCCCAAATGTGTAGAGACCCATGGGCTTGACCTAATCAATGATGGGCTGATTAGGGTTAAGCACTCTCTATAAATAAGGGGTTATGGTCCCTAGTTGAACACGTCATTCCGTCTTTCTGCATCCCATCGCTAGAGAGATAATTCCCGAGGGTGTGTACCAACTAGAAGACACAAACCCTAGCCTCCGTCTCCCGGATCCCTAAAGATCATCTCCCATGGAGTCAGGTACGCTTCCGCTCAGTTAATTCTCTAGATAATTTCAATATGAAGATTAAAGTATTCATGGATTTATTCCAACATTTCTGAGCTTCTTGAAAAACACGTTTTGAAATTTCTAAATATGTCTGCTATGATTTTTTCCCGAAATAGGAGTAATGTGGTAGTATTTAGTTATTTAATGTTATCATGTGGTCATTATTGTCAAATAATTGAAGTAATAGGTATTAAACATGACAGTATTTAGTATCATTAATGAATAATGATAGTACTTTTCTATCTTGACATTATTTTTTCAAACATCAGAGTCACGAATCCTAATTCGAGAAAAAAAATACAGTCATGCAATATTGGAATTACAAAAAGATAACCATCCTCGAATGAGTCAAATCTAAGAACATCTTCGATGATACAATGTGCACGATGCCCATGTGGTATGTAAATAAATTATCTCTCTCCTTTTTTGAAAGATTTTATATAATTTTGGTAAATTTTTCTTCACAATGTCAAGAAAAGCATCTAGATGTTGACATTGTCATTAACACTGCAGAGAAAAAATTATAAAAATTGTACAAAATAATTCAAACAGGGAAAAAATAAATTATTTGTTAATACTTATGTGACTATATCTCATGTCACGAGTACATGTGACTCCATCACTGATTCATTCTATCTTGGTCCAAAAGGTGGAATCTCCCACCCCAAGAGCCCTACCCTGACCCGACAAGATGGTGAGATAATTAATCACGGTAACTCAGTCAATAAAGCGATAGACTCATTCATTCTATATTTCTATCGAAACAACGTAACCGTGTGGAAATGGATTCAAATAAATAGAGGATTTAAAGTTAGTATGATGAGTGGAAATGTAACACCACCCCCAAGTATTTGTACATTATCAAATTATGTATTGAACCCCGAGAAATGTATAAAAGTATTTTTACGTGATTGTAATTTTTTATCATTTCTTTTACGTGAATAGTAAAATTCACGTGGGGCCCACACCGGATGTGGGGCCGCCCGATATTATCGGGACCACGTTTTATACTTCCTCCGTCTCTTTTTAGTTGCAACAGTCAACATTTCACGTTTGCCAAAGCACAACTTTGACTGTCATTATATTTAATTATGTATTAATAAAACTAAAATAAAAATCAGATTATAAAATTAAGTGATGAGACGAATTTAACAACATTTTTCAAAAAAAAATAATTCACATACATTAATAAATAAAATGTAGTCAAAGTAAAGTACATGAATAGTGTATATATTTCAATGTTGCAATTAATGAGATACGGAGGATAGTATTAATCTTGGACTAGATAATATGAATATGGTGGTGGATATCCTAATTGGGCCATGGCAATGGCACAGGGTTGACCGGTTGGTCAAACGGGGTCAAATTATCAGTATCGGCAATTTATCAGATAACAGCCCAAAAAGGGATTTCGGAGACTTCTAAATTAAAATTGGAGAATGCATATTGATTATAAGGTCCAATAAGAATTGGGAACAAGTTTTATATTTTATTTGACCCGATGAAATAAAATATAATTAAAACGGTCCGAAAAAATACAACTTTCGGGACCGATTGTACACTCGGGTACACAAAGGGTTGACCTCCCACATAAGTGGGGGCCAACCCGCGTCCCTTGTCTGGGAAATATCAAGGGAGCCGCACATTAACATGAGGAAAGAGGGGGAGAGAGGACTTAGAGACCAAATGTGATAGGAGAAGGGTCCCTCCCCCCACATTATTGGTGAATAAGCCAAGAGAAGTATCTCTATCACTCCTAAACCCATACGCTCGGCCAACCTACCTAAGGAAGAGAGATAAGGTCTGGAAATACTCCATTTTCATCCACCATCTACGCACTTGAGCTAAGGAGGAAAAAGGAGGGGAAAAGGGAAGAGGAAAGTTGGCTTTGGAGAGGAAAACTTGTGTTTAACAAGGTAATGACTTCATTAATCCCATTTCTTGTTCTTCAATCCTCTTATATGATTATTCAGTCATATTTCACACCCTAGGATTGTTCTACACGTTTGGAAGTGTAGAATAAGGGGTTGGAAGGTAGTTCTAAGTCCAAGAACGGACTTAGAAGCCAAAGTGACCGGTTCGCCGGAAAATAACCTTTTTGAGGTTATTTGTATTACTATGGGTTTTATGATGATAAAACCTTGTTAGTAACTTGTCTAAGGTATTCAAGGAACTTTTACGGAGTTGAAAGGGTCGCCAGAGTTGCCGCCGGAGTTCGTTGAAGTTCGCCGGAGTTTCGCCGGAGCTAAATCGGGAAGGCTAGAACTTCATAAGCTTCATTAAGGTGAGAAGACGGCTTTATTCTTTATAACTTTTGCGTGAGGCATGAGATTACCTAAAGTAATCAAGGATATGTTTTGTGGAATGATTAAAGATAACCAAGTGTTTGCGTATGCCATGATTATACATATAACATAGTTGAAAAGCATATTGTGTAGGTTTGGTGATTAAAAATGTGATAACTTATTTTGTGTGATGTTCCAGGGATCCAAAATGATATTTTTGGATCAAGGATGTCAAGAAGTATATGTGTATAAAATTTTACGTTGATCGGACTCCGTTTGAGTGGTCAAACGGGCGTTGACCGCCAAGTCAACTGCCATACCCGACCGGGTATTGACACATACCCGATCGGGTATTTGTTGAAAAATTGCCCCAGGGGGCTACAGCCTCCTATACCCGATCGAGTATGGGGTAGATACTCGATCGAGTATACATTGAAAATTAGCTTTGTGGGCTACTGTCTCCTGTACTCGACCGAGTATGGGTAGATACTCGATCGAGTATTGGGTTATGCTCAAAACGGGCAGTTTTGAGCGGGTTAATGTGGGCCGTTAAGGTGGGACCCGCTCACGTTGGTTCCTAAGGATGGTTATATGACTATAGGGCTAGATAGTGTCCATAGTTAAAGGAACGAAAGGTTAGCCATATCCAGGTTAGGGTTTGGTAAGGATTAAGGTTGGGGTTGAGCATCCCCGGGACTATAAATGATCCTGAAACTCGGTTGGGGTTGAGCATCCCCGGGACTATAAATGATCCTGAAACTCGGTTGGGGTTGAGTATCCCCGGGACTCCAAATGATCCTGAAACTCGGTTGGGGTTGAGTATCCCCGGGACGGTAAATGATCCTGAAACTCTGTTGGGGTTGAGTATCCTCGGGATGCTAAATGCTCCCAAAACTCGGTAGGATATTATGAATGTAGAATGTAGCTTGTGAGCTAGGCATTCGGGAAAGGAGTGAAAAAGGTCAGTTAAGAACTTTATATCTAAAAGACTCTTGAATGAAATGACCTACGGGTCGAGTATTTACAAATATATATACAGTATGTATCATCGGATGGATGAGTCACACACACACACACACACACATATATATATATATGTGTGTGTGTGTGTGTGTGTGTGTGTATATATCACCCTATTTTTGGGTCTCGTGTCTGAAACATTAGTTATTCTTCATATAGTCTGCTTGTCACTAGTACTTCTATGGAGTACTGACCCCTCCGGGGGGCTCACATTTTTCAGGTTGAGGCTAGAGTCCTACTACCTGCACCTTTGCCTAGGGTGATTGATCAAGAAGGAAGACGTGGTTTGTGCTTCCATTCTTATTTCAAATTTATAAACTGCTCATTGATTTTTGAACAATGTTTTCCTTAAAACAGTTGGGGGCCTGTGTGCCCGTGTTTGCCACGTGTGGCTAAGTATCAAATATATTATTATTTCTGCATAGACCAATTCAGATCAGATGACTAGCAAATTTCAATTAAAAAACAGCATTCTAAGGATGTTTTTACTTGGACTGTAATTCGTCCCAGACCAGACCAAACCAAACCAGATCAGACCAGACCAGACCAGACCAGACCAGTTCAGACCAGACTAGACCAGACTAGACTAGACCAGACCAGACTTAGATAGTTATAAAAACACAAAAAAACTAGACCAGACCAAATCAGATTAGTTCAGACCAGACCAGACCAGCAAATTACGGTAGAAAGTAAAAACATCCTAATACTAGTGGGACTTGTGACTATGCTCGAATGCCTTTTATATTTGTCACGCTTTCGATAAAAAATCTTACACCGTTTCTAAACTGTTCCGTTAAAACTGTGGATTTCCCGAGCATGCAAATCAACAATACAAACGTTCGCCAAAATCGTGAACTTGGCAAATCTTCCCCGCCTTCATGAAAAAAAATCCATCCTTTGACAACCTGGTTCTATTTCTTTTGGTCATATACTTGAGTAGCTTTTCATGCAAACTTCAGTTGGCGAAGTTGGGCTCTACATGAATAGACTGCAATTCGTTCTAGGGTTCCGTCGACCTTTCGTCTTTCTGCAATGGGAGCGTTGACAGTTAATCGGAAGCGCGGCGAGGATTATTTCAAGGTGTGTTGCCGAAACGAGGCGCCCAATCTCAATCAGGTTTCGAAAAGGCCGAGGCTTTCTCTAACCAGTCCTGATTTACGCGGACGCCTCACTGCCAATTCCGTAGTTTCCAGGTTTTATCGTTACCCTGAAGTCGTCGCCCCTATAAAAAGAGAAATCCACGCTCCTTGCAGACGGACCAGGTTCGGGGTTTCTGCGAATTCGAGGTATTCTTCGACCAGCTGTGATTTTAGAGAGAATTCGTGTAGTGAAATGGGGAATATCTTTACTGGACTGTTTAAGAAGGGGAAACCAACTGCACCGGATGGCTTAAGGCATAGACCGCAACCTTATGAGGTCATTGATATTGATGATGATACTGGGAAGGGAAATGTTTCTAAGGTTTCGTTTATGGAGGAGGCTGAATCTTGGGAGAAGGCAAGAATAGCTTCTCCTCCAAAGGGTGGCCATGGGGATGTTGACATGTTAGACAATTTTGAAAAGCATGAAATGGAGAGAACAACGCACCCACCAAGTTATCCAGGGGCAACAGTAGTGAACAATGCAAATGTGGATATGGACTTTTCAGTAAAGGCACCTAACCTGATGACATTATCCAATCATGAATTTGATAACATGGACCTTCCTGTGTACAAGAGGTTGCTTAATGATCTCAATAAGAAATATAAAGATATTACTTTCAGCACCCGAAATTTTCAGATTGAATTACATGAGAAACGCCTTCAAACGTGTCAATTGTTGAGGAAGACAAAGAAACCAGAAGAGTTGATCGAGGTACTGTTTCTGGACTTGATTTTTGGGATATGTCTTGATTGAGATTTACTGTTTTCATTCATGTTTCTTTTGTCTTGCAGGATGTGATTACTGAACCCTTTGCTCCACTCACTGATGAGGAAAATGCTGAGGTTGCTCATGCCTTTTCAGGTTCGAATAGGTATGAATGGTCCATCCTCTATAAGCTGTTTTGGATGATCTAGTACTTCTTTAGCTAAATGAGTTGAAAATTTTGACACTTTATTTCTGCAGGAGAAAAGTCTTGGTAACTCATCGTAACTCCAATATTGATATTACTGGAACATTATTGCAGTGTTTAGAACCAGGGAAATGGCTGAATGATGAGGTGTTGCTATTAGTTTAGGATACTTGACAGATAAAAGTTTTTTCATTTCATGAGTAAGAATGGGGTAGAAGTTCTCAAGCTAGCTGTTTCCATGAATGTCTTCATTTGCAGGTTATTAATGTATATCTTGAGTTGCTAAAAGAGAGAGAGACAAGAGAGCCCCATAAATTCCTGAAATGCCATTTCTTTAACACCTTCTTCTACAAGAAGGTAATAACACCATTTTTTAGCCAAATTAAAGTTACTACATCATGCATCCAGTATGTTTTTGCTTCTATCGTTAAATGGTTACGCCTAATACTAATCTTTTTTGTAATCATATTCATGAACCAAAATTTTCTTTTGTTCTGTAGTATATGTTGGACGTTCCTATCATCTTATTGACTCCTGGCCAGTAGAAATTCAAATCGATATCCTTTTTATTTAGAAGTCCCCAAAAAGAGACTTGTTTGGTCAAGTACAATTTTTAATTATGGCAAATTACAACATTTAGAAATATGATGGAATAAGTCAAAATGACTCAATAAACTGTCTGCGTTTCTTTGTTATGAAGCAGCAACCAGTTCATGCAATTTTCGATGTAATTTTTATCATGGGTCATCCGGAAACATTCTCTCTATGCTTTAGTACAAGGGTAAGCTTGCGTACATCCAACCCCCATTACCCCACCGGCCACCGTAGGTTGAAGCCTTTGCGGCACTGGGGTGATGTTGTTGTTGTTGACAACATTTAGAAATAATGAAATCCAACTTATATTTTTAAAATTTATTTGTTGTTGTACTAACTTTATCATATTTAGCTGGCTTGTATCCTTTTTTGGCTACTAGGGACCTGCTCATTTGGTTTGATATTATGTGTATTTATTATCATTAAATGTTGGTTTTGTTTGTTTAAGTTTGGTCTGGCTTGACAATGAAATAAATCCAAGTATGCATGTTTTCATATGAAAAAATAGTTTTGTTTTATGAAAAGCCGACACTGTTTAGAATTTAGATGGAGGGAGTGTTTCCAGTGTTATAAGCTCTGAGATGCATCATGCATCTTGTGAACTATGTTCTTCTTTGAAGCTTTGTTTATTATTATACTTAGTATTCAATTATATATTTTTATATAAGGAGATGGTTTTATATTGATGTTCCATCTTAGTCTGATATTCCTTTGTACTCAGTTAATAAATGGGAAGGCTGGCTACAATTATCAATCTGTGCGAAGATGGACTTCAAAGAGGAAATTGGGATACTGCACATTTGAATGTGACAAAGTAAAATTTCTTTGAAATCATCTTTTGCAGCTATTCCTTATATTATTTGAAGGCCTCTAGTGTGAACTGACTGTTGTACTTAATGTTCAGATTTTTGTCCCCATTCACAAAGAAATACATTGGTGTTTAGCTGTCATCAACAGGAAGGATAAAAAATTCCAGTATCTTGATTCGCTAAGAGGAAGCGATAATAATGTTCTGAAAGCGTTGGTAAGTAGGATTTCATCCCCCCCCCCCTATCACTGCCAGTTCCTTGCCACAAAAAGTCAGAAGACTGTATGGTGTAGAATCAAGGGTTTGGATTGCTTTCCTAAAACTTGATTCCATTCCTTAAGGATATATAATATTTGTGCATTCGTCTGCAGGCTAGATACTATGTAGATGAAGTGAAGGATAAAAGTGGTGAGGATATTGATGTTCATTCATGGGATAGAGAAATAGTTGAAGACCTTCCTGAGCAACAAAATGGGTGTGTATGCTTAGATTACTTGGTTAAATAGTCCCTTCCATATTGCATTGCTTTAGAAGTAATTTTTTCCTGTTTTCTACCAAGCCGATTCCCTTCATAAATTAGTTAGTCAAATAATTTCCTCTCAACCATATTACTAATTTGCTACATTCCTACATCACACTGTTACAGAAATAAATTCATGTTTGTTATTTATTTATTTCATATTTTCTTGTTTTCCTCAACCTTTTCAGAGTAACTGTATATCTTTTATTCTTTTCGACATTAGTTTTACCCAAATTTAATTTGCCTTGTACAAGTTTTCAGTTACTCTATATATACCTAATACTGGTTTTGGTTGTGCTTGCTGTACAAGTCTCCACTGCTCTTGTCTTTTTATACTATCGTATGTACTTGCTTAATCTGATCAACACATGGGTTATTTTTAATTTCTTATCAGGTTTGACTGTGGCATGTTCATGATTAAGTATGCAGATTTCTATAGCAGAAATATAGGATTGTGTTTTAATCAGGTAAGCTCATGCTAAGCATTGCTTTTTTAGGCACCGAGTACTATACTCAGGTATCAGTCCTCCCTCCCTTCTATTCTTGGCCAGGGGAGGAGAATCAGGAGATTGTCTTTATTCTAATTGCCTGCCCAATAAAATATTTCATATTTTTTTGCATTCTAAATAGTTGCAACAATTCATCTAGAAAAAGGATTTCTGAGTACGGTGCATGTTGAATGAAAGAGCTATATAATTGTGCTTCTCAGTTGTACACAGATGTACATTTTTATGAGAATTAAATTTTAGTTTTAGATGTTCACTAATCAGACAGTAAGAGCAGTGTTTGAGTTTCTTGGCTATTTTGCCGCGTTGCAATAATTTAAAAAGTTCCTGTTTCATTATATGATTGTGAACATTATCAAGGGAAAGAAAGTATTCTATTAGTCTCACAAAGATAGTCAGTCTACTAAATTATATTTTTGTCTGTCCTACAAAGATCGACTACGAATCAATTTTTTGGTTTGTCCTACAAACATAGACCAATTATCATATTGAGCTTGTAACTGATTCTTCATTTCCATATATGCCACTTACTAACTTATCTTGGAATTACTCCACATTAACTTCCAGTCATACTACCTCCTCAAGGCCTCAATAAAGAATCATGTGTAACCATGGTACAGATTTTAAAATTTTGACACATCAACTATAAATTAGTAACCATACTTGTATAGTTGTATTTTTAAAATTTATCTGGTTAACTTATGCTGTATTTTGTTTTGGAAATTTACCCGTAAAATTAGCTTCATTTGACCAAACAGATCTTGTTCGGAGAAAAAGTGTTGGAATACAATTTTCTATTAGATGGACAGAATATATATAATTAACTATTTAGTATTTATCAGTGGATATATGGAAAATGAAGATAGTTTTATTGCATTAACATGTCATTGTTTACTCTGTATGAAAACACTTATAAGCCTGTCTTTATGGTATGGAGCAAGTATATTTATAAGCCGTATATCTGAACTAGGTGCTTCATTTCTCATGCAGGAGCACATGCCGTATTTTCGTGTGAGAACTGCAAAAGAAATTCTAAGGCTAAAAGCGGATTGATCAAACCCCAAATATGCTCCTGTGTGTTTATTTCCAGGGAACAGATAACAGAATGCCAGTTTTGATTGAATGAGATGTGTTGTTTGTCTGTAGGGGAAAAATCAGTAGCTTTTCCATTGTTCATGGCTTCTAGAATTTCTAGGGTTGGCTTGTTGACACTTGAGTAACGTACCTAGATATGAGTCATGTAATTCAATTATTCAAATAATGTGTTTCTATAAATATGACCACTCATATGATCTTTCTATATTTATGAACTTAACTACTTAAGTGACCACTGCTGGACCACTGGTGGGTGGTTTGCTTATTGCTGCGTTATATCTTGGTGAGGGTTTGTGATTTCTTGTAAAACTCACTGCTTCGTGAATAGATATTAATATAGAAAAGGACTATTTGCCAGACTTAAGTGTAGTGTATACTACTAATAGTCTAAGGTTGTCATTGTTGAGAACCAGGGGAAATTGTCTATTTTCACAGAAGATATTTGGTCAGCGACTCAAAGGTAGCAGCTTGATGTACATTGGTGTCCTCACAAGCAAGAGTTCCGGTAAAAGCCCCACAACAAATGTCTACAAGGGGCAAGTGACATAGTTTCCCAAAAACAGGGTTGAGTACTTCAGTACTTGAGTGACTGGCAGAAAAAATAGAGATCAAACAGATATAATAGTAAAATAACTCAATCCAGCGATTCCAGCTCATAGAGTTTGGAATAAAGAAATAAACGCAAAGAATGAACAATTTTTGATAGTTTTCAACACATTGTTTACCCATTTTATGTCAGGTTCTTAAGGACAGAATATTGGAGAATTCCTTCAGTTTAATCCAGATGTCAGGAAATTGTATGGGTGTCCTTTACCATCATTTATAGATAGTAAAATTTAGTTAATTAAACAATCAAATCACAAGTAGTTCTTTTGATTTTAAGAAGGGTACAATGATATTGCAAGACCATATGAACAGTCCTTGGTGGCTGTTCAGTTCAAAGCTGGAAAGCATCAAAGCAGATATTGTTTCACAAAGACTGCGCACCATTTCCCTTTCTTTTGATTGACACTGGAATACCTCCAGATGATCTGTTTGTGTACACTTAAAACATAAACTAGAAGCAGAAATCTAATACACCTTCAAACATTATATATATGTGTGTAATATTACATGACAAAAAAGAGCAATCCAATGGTAGCTAGTGGGGGGGCCTCTTTCTACTCAGAATTTCCTGCTCTTTAAGCCGGTGCTGGAACCTTGCAAGACGAGCTTGGAGGCTGACCAAACTTGCCGCTTTGCGGGACAGCACAAAGTTCAACTGGGATACATAATTGTCTATGTGACTCCCAGGCTGATCTACTTCTGCCAGCAGTTTCATTTCCTGAAGATATTACCCAAAACAAAAATTAATTAGTATCTAGAAGTCATAAATATATCTCATAAGTTTTTCTAAACAAAAGCCTCGAAGATGTTTTAATATATAAATTCATGTTACCCGACCTCAAATGTGTTTGGGAGTTTAGGAACACGGCTTGGATGTTATAAAAGCCTCAAAGTGAAGGTTTTGGAATGCATTGGGATTCTCTCTCCACTGCAGTGGAGGAGTATCCATTACTAAGTGTACCCATTTGGAAGGGGTTATTTGGCTGGTGTTTTTCAAAGAGGAAAAGGGGTTTTGTAAAATCAATTTCAAGATCAAGTCTATTTCGCTTAATTCACTGAAGGGAAGATACATATTATTAACACGGATGCTAAACGGGCCTGAATTTTTTGATAACCAAAAGATGAGATCACCCTACAAGTGAAAGATTTTTAGTGACATATAGAATCCAAGTCCTTTTTCCATCATTTGCAATGGAACCAAAGATTCATTATTTTTTGGCTTGAGCTAATGACGGAATAAAGCAAAATGGCTCACTAAACTGTCTGCGCTTCTTTGTTATGAAGAAGCGGGTCACGGCTTGGATGTTATAAAAGCCTCAAAGTGAAGGTTTTGGAATGCATTGGGATTCTCTCTCCACTGCAGTGGAGGAGTATCCATTACTAAGTGTACCCATTTGGAAGGGGTTATTTGGCTGGTGTTTTTCAAAGAGGAAAAGGGGTTTTGTAAAATCAATTTCAAGATCAAGTCTATTTCGCTTAATTCACTGAAGGGAAGATACATATTATTAACACGGATGCTAAACGGGCCTGAATTTTTTGATAACCAAAAGATGAGATCACCCTACAAGTGAAAGATTTTTAGTAACATATAGAATCTAAGTCCTTTTTCCATCATTTGCAATGGAGCCAAAGATTCATTATTTTTTGGCTTGAGCTAATGACGGAATAAAGCAAAATGGCTCACTAAACTGTCTGCGCTTCTTTGTTATGAAAAAGCAGGTCAGTCCATGCAATTTTGGACGCGATTTTCACCATGGGTCATCCGGAAACAGTCTCTCTGTGCTTTAGTGCAAGGGTAAGACTGCCTACATCCGAACCCCCCTTACCCTACCGTAGGTGGGAGCCTTTGCAGCACTGGGGTAAATGAAAATGATAGAATCCAAATCCTTTTGGAATATTTCATCTCATTGTTCCTTCTTTAAGATCTTGGGACATGAAGCGTGTTGACGTAAATCCTTGCCACTATACTTTTAAGCATGATTGCTGTTAACTAATTTTACACAACTAATTAGAATTATGATGCTCAAGGGTAGACACAACGTGACACAATCAATTTATCCTCGAATTAATGAGTAGGTAACATAATAAAGTAACTAATTAATAATAATTTAACATCAGGTATCTAACACATGTGGTATGGTGGGCCTCAAGACCATTTAACATTGGGTATCTAACCCATATGGTATGGTGGGCCTCAAGACCCAACACAGTTGGAATTGAGGTGCTGATCACGATATAATGAATGATGATTCATAGAAGTATAAAAGGGCATTCAGAAGCTAACTCACTTCACGGACAATCTCCATGGTATCTTCAATTTCTCTTCTATGTGCAGCAATTAAAGCCTCCTCTTCCTTTTTCATGATAAAATTAATAGAAAGTCAAAGTTAATTAATTTAGGGAAATAACTATAAATGGTACCTACTCTATCACCAATCAACCACTAATAACACATAATATAGATGTAACTATTTCAGACACCAATTATTCAAATGTATAATCAAATGAAACAGCTATTTTCAACATCAAATCCGGTCATTTAAGCTATCAAAGCATGTTACGAAACAATCAAATGAGCTTTATTTGATGGTTTGGTACAAGTTCTTAAGTACTTGAGTAATCAGTTTGAGGTTGGGAAGTGACTATCATTTTTGTTAAATATTTGAATAGTCGGGGTATGAAATAATTATTCATATGATAAGTATTATTATTGGTTGACCGGTAACAGTTGGTATTATTTGAAGCCATTTTCATGAAATGATTCCACATCAACCTAGGTGCATAGGTACTTTCAAGAGCAGAGCAAATAAGACAGCAACTTCACTATTACTGACCTCTAGTATTTCATTGATATTATCATCAAATGGAGGCGAATCCTGTTTCGAGCTAATACTTTTATAACCTTTACTGGGAAAATCAGAGTTGGAAACATCTTTTCTTGATGAGATCCCCGGTTTATCAAGTATTTCAGTTTTTTCATCCCGATTAGCTTTCCTCCTGGGCGGAGACACCCTTTGCACCTTTTCTTCTGCACCACTAGGTGATGGGCCAGGGTAAGCATTCTTTCCTTCAAGCCTATCACCCCCGTTAGCACCAAAAAGGAAACCGGAAGGTTGTTTATCACTTCCATTATAAAATGAACTTTCTTTCTCCACAACCCTTCTGCCTATACTGGGTATCTTAGATTCCTGAAGCTGCTCAAAGATATCTTCTTCATCAGTAGTAGTGGGAAAAGATGGCGCTGAAAAAATTTCCTTATTCAGAGGTAATAATGTGCCAGTTCCTAGATCCTTTTTTGTGTTTCCACCTTTCGAGAGACTTTTAACCCTGTGTTACAAAAACAATTAGATGAACGCACACTGGGAGGGTATCACTGTTTTAGTCCCCAAATGCTTAACATCTTGTTATGTGGTCTAATTACTCAGCCACTCCCTCCGTCAGCAAAACAGCTCTATTTTATACATTTCAACACAAAAATGAGCCAACTTTCCCAGGATTTTCACGTAGCTTTTACAAAAGAATTGCTCTAGATAAGTAAGTTATATTTAGTTTCAAAACAAATTACTTATAAATTTTATGTATGAGGGTAGAACAGGTAATTTACAAAAGTGGTCATCATCATCATCATTATCATTACCCCAGTGCCGCAAAGGCTCCCACCTATAGTAGGGGTAAGGGGGGGTCGGATGTACGCAGTCTTACCCTTGTACTAAAGTACAGAGAGACTGTTTCCGGATGACCCATAGTGAAAATCGCATCAAAAATTGCATGGACTTTTACTTAGTGAGCTCATTTGCTTTATTCCATCATATTCCAAAGCCAAAAAATAACGAGTTTTTGGCTCCATTGCAAATGATGGAAAAATTTACAAAAGTGGTACCATGCCAAAATTTAAGAGTATTACACTGATGGAACATGGCTCACATGTAGCATGTGCACATCAAACAATTGGAGGACTAAAAGTGCAATTTTCCATATGAGGTAATGAAGTATCAAACCCATCCAAAAAGAAGATACACAAACAGACACACCTATCGGCATATCGTAATGTATTGAGTGTGTGTTCACAGGAGCCAGCATTTGGAGAGATGCAGGAGATCATAACTGTCCTTGAATTGCCAACAAAAGAGTCACGAAGAACCTCAGTTAGTTTGCTCCCTCGAAATGGAATATGAATCTGGTCATTGTCCAGAGCTCGTATACACTCTTTGAGAGCCAACAAACTCTTATTAATCTCTGCTCCTTCAATCCTGAAATGTACCAAAAATTACCTTCACAAGGTGAGAATGTGAGATAAAAGATGTGAAGGATGATGTGCCAATCTTGGAATATGGTGATGCATAAAAGATGCATGGAGACCGGAAACAGTCTCTATGTGCTTTAGTACAGGGGTAAGGCTGCGTACATCTGACCCCCTTACCCCACTGTAGGTGGGAGCCTTTGAGGCAATGGGGTAATGTTGTTGTGGTTGTCGTCTGAATTTGACAAACTTTATTGGAATGTTTTTGCAGTGTTTTTATCACTCGAAAACATTTCCTTTGCGTGGAGAGCATTTTCTTCTACAAGTTATTTTCTTGCAGTCAAATGGAGCCTCAACGTGGCCAAGAAGCAGAAAAATAAATGGCCACATACACTAAACTGTGCATGTGGATCATTTTCCATCACGGGCATTAAAATGTCAATGGGAAGTTGAGCCATATCGATTTCATATACATAAATACTAAAATACATTTAGTGCAAGATTATCACCTT